ATTTTATCCTAAACAATTATTTTAATGGCTAGAGGTTTGATTTTGATCCTATTTCACAAATAGTCGACCCTCACGTATCAATCTAATCTATCCTAGGGAATTTTTAGCCCAATCCTACCCTCAAATTAATCTTAGTATCAACCATGCTAATTATTTACATCTTTAAATCTGATTTTATCAATTTATGGCCTTTCTAAGGTGGTAAAAGAGTTTCTACAACCTAGAAGATAAAATCATTAATCAACTTTCAATCTACTAGCTATCAAGACAAGAAAATAAACTAAGAAGCATTTATAAAATTCATGTTTAAATATCTTAAACTACTATTGAATCAAAATGAGTAGATATCAATTAAAAATTTATTTTTGATTATATTTTTATCATATAATCATATCACAATACAACAATGTAAAATCAAAAAGTAGTGTTTTAATAAACCTTACTTGTGATCATAGAGTTTGATAGCTTTGGAATTGAAGTTTAATTACTAATTGTACTTAATTAATGAATCCTTAAAACTTTGATCTTGTATCATCAAACTTCTCAAGTAAGGCTATTATTGGTTCTCTAGTACTTAAATGATATTCTACTATAAGAAAAGTAATATGATTTAGTACAAATGTTGAAGCCGCTTTAGTCATTTTTATATTTCCACTTTCTATCATTCTTATTCCTTATTGTCGTAGTAAATTGAATTGATGCATCACAAGCATTAATTTTTTCAATTATTCTTACATTTGAGCCATTGCACTCTTCATTTTGACAAGCTTTGCCATAATAACACTTAGAGAAAAAGAGATGTCTAATATTGTTTAAGACAAGTAAAAAAAATAACTTAAAAATTAAAAAAATACTAAAAATAATATCAATATAGAAAAGAATAATCCAAAATTTTTAGTACACATATATCTTATTAAGAAAAAAAGATAATCTACTTTTAATCAAAAAAAGAAAAAGCTTTGATATTATAAGTTTATTTTTATTAATTTTTCAAGAATAAAAATTTGATGAAAGAAAATAAATAAATAAGACTTTTTCAAAGAAGTATGAAAAAATAAAAATGAAGAAGTATGTATATTAAAAAGAAATTAAAATGATTATTCCCAAAAGATAAGAAAACTAGTGACTTCTTGAAATTAATTAGAAGCAAGAAAAGAATTGGCAAGAGTAAAGAAGGCTTCACTCTTCCTTTTATATATACTATCTACTTAGGAGCTAGGTGGAGATATTCTATAAGACCTCCAAAACGTATTAACTTTGCATGACATATATCTTAACTTGCAAGGCAAGTTTTTTATATGAATGTCACATAATTAGCTTATTTCACAAGCTATCAACACATGTGGCATGTGAATAAATTGTTGATCAAGTTTCTAACCTATCAATCAACTAAAAATACATGTAAAGTCAACATAGCGTCCATAAAGCTTTTAATAAGCTTTTTTAGAAGATATTATAAAATTAATTTATTTTTATCTACTTCTATATAATCATATAGATAATTATTGGAGCAAATATAGATATATATATATATATATATATATATTGACGATATGTAGACTTCATCAAGAAAATTTTTATATAAGAAAGTAATTTGAACATCTAAGTGATTAATATGATGATTTTTTAAAATAGCTCTAGCTGCTAAATATTTAATTGTAGATCATTATATCATAAGAGGAAAGACTTTGTTGAAGTTGATTCTATATTCTTATTCAAATCCACAAGCAACAAGACGTGCCTTCTTCTTTAGCAATTTATTCTTCATGTTAGGTTTAATATTAAATATCCATTTTGAGCGAAGATAGAGTTTCAATAGGATCATAAAAGAAGTGATTGAATTTGTTTGTTTTTCTTGGCATGAAATACTTGCCTTTTAATCAAAAAATGAGCAAAAGATATCATTGCAAGAGGTTATAGAGGATGTAATGGATGAAATTCCTATATTATCTTCATCAAATTTAACATCTTTTAAAATAAAAATTTTATTAGTAGTATAATTAAAGCACCTATAGGCTTTAGAATTATTGTTATAGCCAACTACTATAGATTTTTGAACTTTGGGTTATAACTTATTTCCACTTAGATAATGATAATAGACTGTACAACCAAATACTTGTAACTAAAAGAAATTAGGTTTTTAACTTCAAAAAAAATAGAATAGAATAGATTTATATAAAGCTTAATATAGAATTCTATTCGAGATATAATTTGATGTATAAGCTACATCTTTCCATAGATAAGATTATTTGTAATAATTAAATAAAAGAATTTTCATTGTTTTATACAAGTATCTACTCTTTCTTTCAACAATGTATTTTTTTGAGATATTTGTATTGTATTTAATTGGCATCAAATGCCAAGTTGAGAACAAAAGGAGATAAATTCTTTTAACAATTATTTTCATCTATAGTCACTTGTTAGATATGATAGTTTGTAGTTTGTTTCTTTTTCAATTATTATTTTAAATCTCTTGAAAGTTTTAAATACTTCACTCTTATAAATGAAAAATTAGATCTAGATCATTTAGAGGAGTCATCAATAAAAATTAAGAAGTAATTAGAATTAGAGAGAGATTGTATAGGTAATATTTCACATAAGTTTGAATGTACTAATTGGAATGGTTTTCTTGTAGGAATCAAATTGGATTGTAGAATTAAATGTCAATGATGTTTTCTAATGACATAAGCTTCACATAATGATTTTAGAAGATATAAAATAGGAATTTCTATAGCCATTTCTCTATGTAAAAGGTTATAGAATGATTGAAAGTTGAGATAGGTAGTTCTTTTGTGCCATAGTCTTGTAATATCTAATTTGGAATAGTTGATAGTATTGATAGAAAGATCTTAAAATAATTTTGTTGGTTTGATGTTAATCAAGATAAATAATTTGATTTGAAATCTTCTTGTTTTTATGAACCACATTTTGTTTAGAAAGGATATCCTAAATATCCAACATTCCTTTAAATCAAAAATTATATAGTAGCCTAAGTCTTCAAGTTTGTCAATTGATAACAAATTTTTGACTATATTAGATATATAAAGAATGTGATTCAAATATTTATTATTTCTAAGGTATGCAGTTCTTTTGGTTGTAATAGGTAGAATTTTTCCACCAACAATAATTATATTAGATAGAGAAGTAGACTTTACAGTAGACAATAAGTCTAAGTTGTATGTTACATGTGTATTAACTCCAAAGTCTAACATCCATTAGAGAAATTCGTTCAAGGCTTTTGCTGCACATACTTCAAGTATTTTAGTAAGTATAGCTTCTTCAAAGGATCTATGAAGTAAAGGTAATTTGACAATGTTGGCAAAGTAATTTGAATACCATCAAGACGAATTTGATCTACTTCTAGTTTCTACCTTGCAAACCTTGATACAAAGTTATTTTAGTTCACATTTATCTATCCAATGGAAAGAACTCTTGCATTCATTGCAAGTACCTTTTTTAAATCTATTTTATGTTTTTTTGTCATATTGTCAATGATGTTGTCATAAAAATTGTAATTGTTGATAGTTTCTATTGAACGAGTGTCCACTTGATGAATTACAATGTCTTCTTATATAGATTTGATTTCCATGAAGGTTAGATTTAGATATATAGAGTATCTTGTGTTGAGTTGATAAGGCTTCTTCTACTTCAGTTCTTTTGCAATTTATAATTCTAAGAGCATATTCTTGTAAGAGGAGATTCTTAAGTTCATTGAAAGACAAAATATGGTCTCTACTAAATATCATTTGATGAAAGGTATTCTAACTTAAAGATAAGTTAGTCAAGACTCTATCAAGAAGTTCATCTACTATTAAAACTCCAATGTTTGCAAGTTTTCCAATGAGGTTGTTGATAGTTATAAAATGTTATTCTATATCTTCTTTGTCTAGCATACTTATTTTGTATAATAGAAATTTGAGAAAGACTCTTTAATTCATGGAATTTGATTGATACAAGTCTCTCAATTTTGTCTAGATTTTTCTAGGATTTGTAATATGCATAATATGAGATAAGATAGAGTCTTTTACCATTGAGACAATAATTCTTATTGTCTTGTATTATTGTTCTATAAGAACAGAGCTTGATATAGGGGCAGATAAAGAAGGAGAACCATGTATAGTATCCTTCGTCATTTTCTTTAAGTGAAGAGAACTCATTGAAGAAGACTCTATGGTTGGGACGTTGGAAAAATCGACAACATTCTAAAGACGTTTGTCTTAAAGAAGAGTCCAAAGCTTGTATGCCTGGATGGTGTAATTGGTGACGCCCTACAACTTTCTGTTCTCCAAAATGTGATCTAACATGGCAAACTCCATCATAAAAAATAAAAGATGGAGATAGAATAACTGAAGATAGTGGATTACCAAGCAAGGGAAGAACAAGTGCAAGAGCAAAGTGAAGAGAATCTAAGTCTGCTCTGATACCATGATGCAATCAGATGATCGCAACATGCTTTCAAGATCAAAGAGATTGAGCTTTATTGAATCAAAAGAAGTGCAGTATATCAAGAGTCCAATCTACTTATACAAAGTAGGACAAGGGATGTATTTCATCAGTAATCCCATTCACATGGCATTGACTTAATCCTTGCTGTTCCATTTTTTATCGTGGTAGTCAAAATATCCTGATAAACAAAACATTGAACAAGTTGTTTTTTATTTTTATTTTTTTTTTTTGTAATCAAGTTTAGGGTCATGTGTAATGCTCATTTAATAATGTCGTAGTCGATAAATATGCAGAATTACACATTTGAAGTTACGATATCCAGAAACGAAAACTTTGACATGGGCTAACTAATCTCTTTGTGTGTCCCGTTTCTGAAATTATAATGTTTTAAAATACATTTTTCAACGTTAAATGACCTTCATTAATAAATCACAAAATATGATTGTTACTCAGAATACTTGATTAAGTGTAAAAATATATTTTCGATTGGAGAGGGCTTAACAGTATCACCAGAACAGAGAGGACATGCTTCCAAAACAGGGATTTGACACTTGTGAACAAATTGAAAATCTTTGGATATAGTTTGAGGAGCACTTGGATCTGCTCAAAACTGCTCTAATTGTAATAGATATGACCGAAGCACATACATCGAAACTATACATTACCAACAGTCGAGAAACCTAAAAGGTGATCTACGTAACCAGATGAATGAAGTGGAAGAAGAAACAAACTCGAACCAGGAGCTTTCACATCACTCCATACGATGTTACACTGCACAATGCCTAGTGTTTGCTTACAAGCGTGGATCAGAAACAATGTCCACAAACTCCATCTGGAGAATAACAGGGTGAACACCCTTCATTCTATATCACATCAAACCCCAGCTGAGTTCTAGACCCACTGTGGGGTTAGCAGCTGTAGCCGTATATCTGAACAAATCTTATTCCTCCAGCTCCAAAACTGGTCCAATATCAATCACCTAGTGAATATCGTAAAGCTTTGAATCCCCCTCAAAGCCGTAGAGCCTCGAAAAGAGCAATCATCGGGTCAGAAGGCTATCCCTGCATGAAATTTAGTGCATGAGGGAGATGTGGCCAATCCAATATAAACAAAATGCAAAAAGAAAGCAAATTGCATTCTCCTTTTATATCTTTAAATTGGGTTGAATATAGTGCAGGCAGATACATAGCATGAGATCAGCATTAGCTCCATGGAGACCGTGGAGACTGTGGTGGAACACGTGCTTCAGAGGCAAACCCTCTTGGAAATTGTGAATCTGGTCGATCCTCAGCTCTTTGTCCATTCTGAAACACCACTCAATGATACCATGTCATCAACAAACATGGCGATTCTGAGTTGCATATCAAAAAAAATGAACATGAAGCTCTTCACTTCCTCTGACAGCTGTTACCTAAGAACCAGCTCTGGACATCCACGTGAATTCAACAAACAATTCCCATGATAATCCCACAGGGATCGATGTAAAATTTGGAAGTACAAACTGATACCTGATTTGAGACAATTGGAGGCCTGCGAGGAGGTTTTAAATTACTATCAACCACTCTGTGCATTCGATGTTGCTGTTGCATATGCTCAAACTGTTTCAGCTGTACGGCGAAGTTAATTCCTGCACCTCCATTACTAGCAGAATCTGCAACCTTTTCTCCATCCTCAGTAGCATGAAGGCTGAGAGTAGTTGGCATTGGTGCAATATGAGATAAAATCTTGTCATAAGGTCCAACTGAAGCGCTTCTCCGTATTGCGCTAAGACCAGGGAATTCACTAGGCATTAATGTTCCATGAGGCGCGTGCATAAATGAATGTGATGGAACTGTCTTCAGTCTAGTGCGCAAGATCTTGAATGCCGAGCTTTGCTGGAAAAGGCAAAGATAAAAATACCAAACGTTTCGTTAGTCCACCCTTCACGAGGTCCTTGGAACATATCATGAAACCAAGTCAACAAAACAGGGAAGACTAGAAATGATGTCAGAGCACTGTCTTTACTAACCACCAAGTGTAGAGTAACTGTAAGAAAATAGACACTTCGACATTTGTACCTGCGGGAGAAGCATAAGAAGCCCATAAAGAGCTTTTAGGAGGTGAGGATAACGCCCTGGCTCTAACAACTAGTAGCAATGACCCACAAAATTAGCAATAAATGGTTAGTCAATTTAATATTCAACGAAAGTACTGCAACGATAGTGTTAACAAATACTCAATTGCGACACCTTCATCACTTGCTAGAGATTAGATAATACAACACCAACTTGCATAGAAATAATGTTGTATCACTAAAAGACTGGAAATCAATGAAGAGAAAGATGTACCTGCAACCTCAAGTATGCAAAGATAGGAGTCTCTAAAAGTCGCACTAACTTATCTACTTGTACTAGTAAATTTACACTAATGTCTGTCTCTCCAAGCGATTGAATCACAGAACTCGCATGTTGGTAAGCCTGTAAAACAACACAAACCAACGAAAGAAACCGTGAAGTCAGGTGGATATGCGAGGTGCCCACGTGGTCAGTGTGAGAGTTTCTCCTCATTCACTGACATCACAACAATCGATTGGTCTAAAACAATGAAGATCAAGGCTGTACCTGGGCAAGCAAACAGAGACTAACAGTCGCCATGGATGAGTGACACCAAGATGAATACAAGGCAACAAACAGATCCCGTCCACCTGGAGCTGAAAGAGTCTCTTTCAGTAGACCTCTCAACTCTGCCAGCTCTGGAGCGGTCAAGAGTATCAAATTAAGTGCCTGCAGCGCACATTTGCGTCAGTGAATTCATACAACAGAGACCCTGAGGCCCTAGAAGCAGTGTGCTTTAAAGCTGCCATTTTGAATGTACCACTTAGTATTTAAGTTGTTATGCACGAAAATTTCACAACAATATTTACTAACCAAAGCTCACCTGAACCATAATAGTTGCAAACTCCAAGTCCGCTTCTCCTTCCAAAATTGTGGCCAACTCTCGATAAACTCGTTCCGCACCCAACAACTGGCACAGCCTTCCTAATGCCAATGTACCTCTCCTGAAAAGCACATAGCCAGAGAGTTTACTATCAGAGTTTCGCATCCAACCTAAAGAAAGTTTCGGTGTACTCGCTGCCTTTTAACCGACTGACTTGCTATTAAGTGTAGCAATAGCCCAGCATCAAATCCTTCCAAAATAACTTATAATCCAAGTCCAATAATCATCAGGATAAATCTAAGAAAGAATAATATCCAAAAGATTATACAAGCTTTATAAGTCACAAGACGAATAAGGCATACAAGGTCCAACTCCTTCACTCTAACATCATTTTGAATAAGTTAACAAGCACTGCAATGTTGAAAATACCTTTCAAGAAGAGAATGTTCAGAGTTGAACCGATGAACAAGAAATTTCATAAGATGTCGGAAATGTTGAGGGTCTCGAGCTATGCAGGCTTGCACTTCCAGTACAAGCAGGGCAACCTGGGAAAGCCAAGTAACTCATAATTCATTTCAAGAGAACTTAAAGTACTACCAAGATCCACAACGGGGGAAAAAATGGCTAGAAACTGACTCAACCGTCCAATCGCATCAAAGGAAAGTAGGAACCCACTTCATCAGATGAATCAGAAAGTGCTTTCAGCAAGGCAGGAAAGATATCATCCAAAAATGAAAGAACCTGCACAAGAAATGGAGCATTTTCATCAGATCAACAAGAAAGACGAGCATAGTGACAACTTTTGACATCGTCCAATCCTCAAAACAAACATACTCCCAACAACTTCCATATCACATTGAATGTTAGATGAAACAATGGGTATAAAATAGGTATTAAGTACATGACAAGTTTTGTTGCATGATGGTAATAAGTTCTGGCAAGCATATGTGGGCAATGTGTAAGCGTCATAGACATTTGATCATGTCCTTTGCCTCCAGGACAACGAGCTACAGGACAAATCCAGTTTGCTATGAGGTGTTGGATAAAGAATAAGAAGAACCATGAGGATCAACCCCACATTTAATTCTTGGATCGATTTTGTTTTTATTGCAGTACAACAAAGATAATGTAATTTGGAATATTGTGAATTGATTTAGATATTAGACACCAATCTTCAAATAAAACTGGAGAGATAATAATAATTATTAATAATAAACATCTAATCCCTTGATTGAGAACCCTTTAATCACCTCATAATGATGGAACTCTGAGAAATTGCGCTGCAAATGGGCTTCAAGTGTAAAATAGTTATTGATAGAAATTAGATCTCAATGAACGAGAAAACAATGATGGTCTCTGCCTCAAGGGACAGAGCCAATAAACTTACTTCTGTTCGGTGTCTCTCCAATAGCACAGAAATCCACCTCAAGGCCTCCAACCTCGTTGCCTCAGACTCGTTTCTAAGCTCCCTGGTGATCAAATAGATGGAACGGATAAGAAAATCAGCATCTTGTAAAAACTGGCTTCATCAAAATGAAAACATAAGTATCACATAAGCTTAATAATGAGGATAAGTTGATCAATAAAATTCAGTTTGAGCGTGTTTCTATAAAGACGGAAAACTATGCAAAAAGCTGAGAAAATACCCCCGTGCAATGACCAAAACAGCACCAATATCAAAGCCCTCTGACGGTTCGGCCTTAATCAATTGCAGTTCCTCGTTTGTTTCTCGAGCAACCTGTAATATCACATAGCCATCGCCCTCTTAAATTTTGTACAAAAAACGGAAAGTTGACATCATTCAAATGCCAAAAAGCTAGCAGAGTTCAATTAAACTTTTGAAATCACAGGTCGTAAAACTGGAGAAACTTGATAGTTCAAAATTCGGGCAGGATAAGTCCTTTCTATTTGTGCTACAAGAAATGATTGTGCTCCTGAAGATATCTAGAAACGCACCACTCGTATCTTCTCTTCCTTGTCAGATATAGCAGGAAGCACAACTCCAAGGATTTCAGCGTAGTAGGGCACAAGCTGATCTCCCCCCAGCTTCACAAATTCATTGACCTACATCCGTAACAAAACCCATTAATGGAACAAAACTCGTCCTAGATACTTTGAAATTACAGAACACTGAAAATAATGTGCCTCATCAGTCATGCTTGTACAAGTCAAAAGTTTCCACTACAAAACACTCCTCTTAAAGAAGTCGGAGGTCAAACACAACCCTGTATTACCAAAATTACATAGTTACATGTAATCTGTATGAGACATCAAGCTACATAGAAAGCAGCATCCGTGCCAAAGAGTGGTCATAGACATCTATTATAGAACCAATAGTGAGATTTCAACATCATGCCCAACAGATAATGAAATAAACCTACCCAAGTAATAGAGGTGAGTCTAGTGAACTCATCAAGAGATCTTGCTCTTTGTACAAGTATCTCAGCCATTCTACCATAGTCCACCGACTGTCATAATCATCACCCGACCCCACATTCAGTTCAAGAAGCTAATGCTTAACTATCCAGAGGACCGAGTAGTGCATGCACACTTGCCGTGATATAATCCCATCTCGAATTCATAATCAAATTCTTTCGTAAATAACACAACATTGCAGTAAGTATGATAAATAATTCTGAAAAGCTCTAAGACAGCGTGCTCACTAATACAGTATATTTAGGAACTTACAGGTGCATTTTTTATCTCCTGCAGAAACTCTGCAAGGGCTTGATCAGCCTGCTGTCGTATCTCATGGCTGTTATCACTGAGCATATTGAATAACCCTATAGGAACATGAAACCAATTAATAGCACAATTTGACCGTCTCATGCATGAATACAAAACTTTGAAAGAAGGCAGATTAGTTTAGAATCAGGGATAGCACTGCGAAAGATGTTTACCATCAAGAAAGTCCGGGAGAAAACCAAGCATGTCAATATCTGGAACACTATCCAGCACAGTGATCCATCCAACCAAGAATTGACGAACAAATGGATTGAGTACATTCATGCGCTCCCTCAAAAGTGGGATGAACTCCTCAATGCTGCACCCATGAGCTCATGAATTCATTTCAAGGCACTCCCTAGGAAATCACAAGCCTACAACAAATGGATGTGATCACAGCTCAAATTTCTAAGCGTCTGATTTACATGAACTGCTCCCATCTCAATTGTATGATGCCAGCAGTGAAGGAGTCTGGATGCAATTCACAATGTCCATGGAGGGCAATGACATACTGAGATTATTCCAAGCACCTAAATAGCCTCAAATTAATTATGATTTAAAGTTTAGATAAACCCGCTAGTTAACTACAAATTGTGATTCATCTGAGATAGTCCGATAGAAATTATTAGATTTTAAAGTCACCAAAACCGAATAAAATTTTAAGCCGTCATATGTTTTGAATAAAATAAAATAAAATAAAATAAAATAAAAATCGAATAAAAAACTACAGAGAAAAAGAGATGATCGAAGAAAATTGTTTACTTACATTAATTGACCAGGCACAGGAACAATTTAGACAAGTCAGATGATCTTTGTTTCTGCGCCTTACAACAAACACTATTATGTTACTAACTATACTACAGAAACAAGCTGAGTGAACCTGAATTGAGGCGAACCTGAATTGATCACTTTCAGTGACAATGTCCTGCAAAATGTAAAAATTACAAAATTAAATGTATGTAATATCCCTAAGCAAGATTTACACTGAGGCCAACTGATCAAAGAATAACCAAGTAATTTGGTCTTCACTAAACCAGCCTCCTATTCTTGCATTCTGAAGGAAGGACATTTCAAAGATACAAGCTCAAATGGCAAAGCTTTAAGTCAGATATATGTAGAGTTGCAACCTTGACAAGGCGGTCCAACAAGTGAGCAGCACTTTGTACATTGGGATCCGAGTCTGCTGAGAGTTTGCAAAGCGCATCAAAGATGTCATTGAAAAATACAATGAAATCACCTCTCGCAACCTGCCCCAGTTGTATTAAATCATGAGCAGATGGATCGTTTAAAAACAGCGACATAAATTTTGTTGCACGTCTAAAAAACAAGCTAAAATTGAGAAAGTAAACATGTACATTAGACTTACCTTTGCTATGTTATAAAGGGCTTCACAAGCATAATACCGCACACGGCTGTCCTGATCTATGAATGAACTAAGGACCGGAGGAACTATTTTCTGCATAACAAGAAAAATAATCGAATTTAGAAACAGGAACAAGTGATCCAAACTGCAAACTTAAAATTACATTCATTTTAAGGACCGACCAGGATTAATTTACAAATTCCTGCAACCTGTTACGGAACAAAAGAAACTAACTTTGGTTATTCTTTGATCAGTTGGTCCCATGAGAAGCCAACTTGTCTATTCACTATACCACACTCGATAATGGTAATACAAATTTATATTAGACAACTGGTTTATACAGTCGACCGCATTCATGCGCCGAACAAACGTAAAACCATACAACTGCCTAATTTTTAGGCTGCTACATAACAAGGTACGTACCTCCAGGTGTTGGGCAGCTTCAGATGCAAGACCTACTGTTGCAGCTGCCAGACCAATCAGACCTCCCTGCATGACGGGGAAACTTGAACTAAGCGAAAAGTAGACAACACGAAAAGTTGCCTAAGTAACAAACAATAAGACAAAGTTCCATAATTTGATTGTGATGGAGAATATCTGACCTTACGGTGATTGGCCTGAGGAGAAAGAGCGAAGTCATTCGTAAGAAGGCGGATGATACTGGAGATCTTCTCATGATCCTGAGCCCCGGTGAGTGACTTCACCACGCTCTCAACCTGAGAAAATTTCATCACTGAACACAGTCAAGGTCCAAACAGTCTCTATAATAAGAAGCGAACAAACTACATTAGAAACTCACACCACATCCAGGGCGCTGATGAATTGAATGATACTCACCCAAATACGACCAAAATACGTAACAACATGAATAACATTTAAGTTGAATGAGAAATCAGGAGGTAATCAATGGAGAATTATGAAAGCACGTCAAAAATGAGATGAAACCGCACATGCATATAGAAATTTATTGCAGCATATCCCAGACGATGCAATAAGCATCATAGCCCACATCACCAACTTAGGTGCTAACTGAGCCAAAATTCTCTCGACCAGCTTAAGAAGAATACAGCACATTTCATGGTATACACGAGCCAAAGTTCATAAGTACCTCTAATGCTGCAGTTTTACGTTTTTCATACAACTTATCAGCCAGATTGCGCAACACCGACGATGATAGTGGAGCGACTGAATCAGCCATCTTTGTAATTGTCGACTACCGAAGGCTATGGCTCAAAAATGTCTTCCACAATCACGCTTACTCCATCAGCAAGTCGCATCTTACCAATCCATGATTCTCTCCCCCAAGAGCTACAATAGTTTACTTTAAACCTAACCATTGGAGTGACGCATGAAGTCAAATTCAGAATTAACTAAAAAAACTTGACATGTGAGCTACTGTTACCGATGTTCACAAGGAATAGGAAGTGAGATAAACCCTAAAACAGAAGGCCCATACCCTGCAATCAAGTACCAACAACTTGTTGAGAGAAATTACCACATACAAATTCGAAGCTTAAAGACCAATAGTGAGATTGCAATAAAAGCTTGAGAATGGTTGACTGTGAGAAAGGGTTGCTCAATTAAGTTGCCCTTGACTAACGTCCAATCTCGTGCGTAACTCTTGTAAATTTCGTGATAGTAACATGCCGCCGCAACGTGCCCAGGTAATACCCTACTCAAAATCTTACACCTGCCCGGTTAATTTCAATCGAACACGCTCAAATCCTGCGCACCCAGAGGCCTAGATCGCACATGTAAGCACTGAACAGATTTAAGTGCTTCCTTAGTAGCTTCCCAGAAGGATGCAGACCAGATCAAGCTCCTGAAGAATTCTTCTTCGACAGGATAAATGAGATGACAATCATGGTAAAAGCGAACTAATCAGGAGATAGTTGATGTGTGAAGAACATATACCCAGATTCTAATAAGAAATCGACAATGGAATACTTCAACAGCTTTCCTTGCGGCCCCAAAAATCCACAAACAAAGTCCTGCGGAATTAATCCGAAGCGCAAAGACTTCCTCGAGGAAATCCCCTAAACGAGATGTATATGACAACTCACAGCTTCCAAATCAAGAAAAGGCTCGAGAAAATTTGAAACCAAGCCCATCATTCTTCAGCTGTGATTTTCCAAGCAAGGTGCCCTGATTTTAACTCCCTCCCCGCTTGACGATCCGCACAAACACTACCCATCGTACTTCTCCACACAATCTTCGAGGCAGCTTGATCCACGAACCGGCATACGCGGCTTTACCACTGAAAGTGATAAATGCAATGCATTAAATCGGGCCATAGACAGGGTGGAGCCAAGAAAGCTCCATGTCAGAACCTCGGACTCTCAAAACCCTCAAAAGCGACTCCCAAACCAGAGAGAATCTGACAAATCAAGTCGCATGGAGTTAAATGAAGCGACGAGTGGCACGGGGAATAGTAAGCTCCAGGTACTGTAGTGAAATTGCTCGACGGAACCTTCGATTATCTTGGAAGAAACATTTCTCCCTCCGCACAAAGAAACTAGGAAAACCCCCTCTAAAATCGCACGAAACCCAAGTGTCGAAGTCCAGAGGGTATTCAAAATCGCTGGGAGGGTTGGCTCATTACAGAGCAAACCCAGAAATCCAAGATGTTTCACTGCAAGCGAAGACCCTCAAAAGCATAGTGATCCCCAACTTACAGACCAGAACCGAACAACAGCAATAGCCACTTGACAGAGTCAACAAGGAAAACCCGGCATGGGAGAGGTGATCCAACTTCACCCCTGCAAATCCTGAACAAACTCGAACAGTTTGGGAAAGCGGCATAGACAAGTCAATGTGCGCAAGAATGACAACACGTAGCTAGAGGACGAGAAATAAACGAATAAATATAGTAATATGGAAAATCTGAAGATTAAAAGAGGAGCATAACGTCTGGTTGTGCGCTGAGGCTGTGAACCGTAATCCTACTGAACTTACTGACATTCACATTCCGGTTTGTATTAAGAAAAAATTATGAATACGGTATTGGTTGAGCATCACCCAACGCAGTGCAGTGCGGAATCTGGATGGAACGTGACATGGTGAGAACCTCGCATAGAATCTCGAATGATGAGTTCAAAATCCCAGTTGTTTGAGAGCGCAGTCAATTGTCGGCGTTGTCCTGGTAAACCCGAGTTTCACACTAACAACATACATAAAACGTTTTAATGCAAGCGCAGATGCAAGTAATCAGGTGGCAAGGGATCCTTTTCCCAACAAAGACAAAACAAGGTGACACAGCAAGCTAGGACAAATACCGATTCAACTGTGCATTCAGTGTTGTAAAAGCTTTTTAAAAACCATTGGTAAAACAGCAACCATGCAGTACAAAAAAATACCAAATGTTGCTTTTTGTTTCTACAAACACTTCGTATGAGGCCGTGGCGAAAGAACAAAAAAGAAGGGCTTTCATGCCAGTCCATCTGAACTCAAAGTAAGAGACTCAGGACAGTTTATCCCCAACAAAGTCCACTTATCAAGATAGTCATTGGCTGTGTGGTCAAGCAAACTCCATGCTGCGCACAAAAGCCTCTTCTTTGGAGCAGTTACCGTAAACATAGTGTTGTCCTATGTGCTAAAGCAACAAAGCATCGATCCACTCTAGCTGTCTATCTCCATTTTACATGCAAGCAGATTGAATCTCCAAAACTCTGTCAAATATTTTTTTACTTCGTAACATTGAGTTTATGAGAGTGAAAACTCTATCCGCTTTCACAACTATCCAGAAATTAGAAACACTATGTACTGGCAGTATCTCGCCACACAGCATGGACTTCGTCTGTGCGAAACCTTTGCGTGACTGTAGTGTCCTCCATCGCAGTGTAATCGCCTTGAGCACACGCCAACAGACCAGTGTAAGCAATCATAGCTCCATTATCAATACAATAGCGCTCATCGGTGGCGTAAAGACGACCTCCACGCTCTTCACACATAATTTTCATCATCTGTTGTAATCGCTCGTTGCAGCCAACACCTCCCACTATCAGGACGTCTGCGGTGCCGCAGTGAGCCATCGCCCTCTCAGTTATCTCTACCAGCATCGCAAACACAGTTTCCTAAAAATACAGAAAGGCCACCAAAGTTAGGGGCAAGATATTTCTTCATGCAGCAGGATGCCAAGCACATATCATCGGTCCACCAAATATTTTGGAGCAAATCAAGAGAACCCGTCAGTCATTCACAAGCAGTCCCAGATTCTCACCTCAACGTAGTGCCTGCTCGACATAGAGAGTTTCAAGAAAACTAGGAAATAAAGAGGAAAATGTATCAAACAAATAAAAAAAGGAGACAAGAAGAATGTTAAACCTGCAACGAGAAGCAAAGATCAGCTGGAGTGATTTCATTGTCATTAAGAGTACGGGCTGCAAGCTCTTCAACAAAGCTGAGGAGTCCACTAAAGGAAACGTCCATTCCCTTCACCACATACGGTAACTCCACAAGCTTCTGGCCCTTCTTAGCGAGCTGCAAAAACTCGCAGCATATAATTAGCAAACGTAAGGAGTCTTATCTTTTAAATGTCAGAATGTGTATATATATATATATATATATATATATATATTCTCTCTCTCTCTCTCTCTCTCTCTCTCTCTCTCAAAATTCATCAAGAAATAAAGGTGCAATATCCTGACATTCTTGCCATAAACGTACCTGCTCAATGTTATACCCAGGACTGGGATCATTCGAAATTTTCAAACATCTGGCAAATCTATCTAAACAATTTCCGACTGCTATATCGACTGTCTCCCCAAATATCCTGTATCGGCCTTCACTGTAGGCGATAACCTGTGAGAAATAAAAGACTTGTCGGTTCAGCCAAACTGGTATCTCACAAAGTGAAAGAAACCGACTCAGAATCCAAACCAAAATAGTAGGATAGCTTCTTTACTAACCCACAAACATGCTAAAGTTTCACTTAGTGAACAATATAAATTCAAACCAAAATTCAAATTGGAACCAAGATGATTCTCGATACATTCCTTGATGTAAACCTCTATTGACAAAACTCAGAGCAGTCAGACTTAATCGAACTCGGATATTAACATTGACATGGGGGGGACGCGTGATATTGCAAATTACGTACCTGAGTGTTACCCCCACTAACATATAGCACCACAGGATCCTGGGCTCCAGTGACTACTCTACCCATTTCAATGTGCCCCACACAATGGTTTACGCCCACAATCGGTTTTCGCCAAAGTTGTGACAAAATCCTCACTACAATGGCAGAAACCTGCAATGGAGCGCCCATGCCTGGGCCTTTCGTATACGTCAAGCAATCAATAGACGCCGGCGTCAACTTTGCTTCCTTCAACGCAGCATGCACAAGCCCCAACACATGCGCATGGTGATGCTCCGCAGTGTGCCGCGGCAGGAACCCATGTCCAGGAGGCGTGATGTATGTGTGTCGAGGGTTGGCAAGGATGTTGCCATCGGCATCCACGATGCCCACTCCAATCTTATTCGCCGAGCTCTCGAAACCCAGAGCTATCATTGTGAACACGCTAGTAGGCAATTGGGCAAACCGAACCAAATACAAAATCAGACAGCCTCCAAAGATTCGTAACCGGTTCAGATCTCCAAATCACAATCTACACACCATCCACCATCAGAAATACATTTCCCAACAACTAATCCTGAAAAGAACATGGGAAACCGGGTGTAAAAGCATTTGATCGCACCGAGCCTCCGAGCAATATCTACAAAACCCTAAATCCTAGCAATTGTGTTGCCCTTTCAATCCATATCAACCCACACAATTCATTTGGGAGATAAACCCAATAATGTGAGCAGATTTCCCTTTCCGTCCCTCTCCCAGCTCCTCGGCGAATGCGGAAGAGCAGAAAACTAAAAGCAATCCGGGAGTTGGAGTTGCATGAGTGTTTGACTTCGGCAACGAGCTACGGTTGGAAAAGCAGCGTTCGAACGTAATATACAAGTACGCAAAGACTTACAAAAATGTGACAGGCGGGGCCAAAATGTGACTTCGTAATTGGTTTCCTACACCTTCAATTCCTCACAACCTTGCCTGTAACCGAACCAAATACCAAACAAATTTCTCCTCCCTGTAACACACTCATACACACAAACACATACAGACAAGGCCCTGTGTCGGTGTAAATTATTCTCATCCACAATTTTTCATTCAAGGATGGATTGCCAAACCGCATACGAATGGGATCTTGCACCGATGCGTAAGGCCTCCGAACGTGTTTCTATTCCGTTTTGAGAAGCCGATGGATGGTGGACATATCGTTAAGTTTCTTGAGAGTCCCCACCTTGGGTTCAGTTACTTAGGTCAAATGCATCGATGGTTTGGTTAGATATGGTGCTATTTTCGCAGGTCAGGTGAGCAAGCCCCAACTTACAAACACATCAATCACCTCATCTTTCGTCTTCATCCAGATTCCGTGCTTTGAATCACATGGTGCTACCTTAGACACACCACACGTGCACCACCACTCCTATAGTTGCTAACTCCCCACGTCAAAACTCCCATTAGCTTCATGCGGGGAACAGTTCAACCTTCCCTTCAGATATAAACGAATCACGCGTGAGCGTGAAGGAGATGCACAAAAAAACGTCGTAAGATGTCCAAACACTACCCTTCGTTTTCATTCGTCTTCTTTCTCCTATTCCCACGTAATCCAAGTTCTGAAACCTCACAGCCTTGCCTGCAACATGCTCTGAACTCACAACTCTGCTGACCAAGTGTTGCCATTTGCAGGGCTTTGTGTGTGCTGCCTATTAGCCTGAAGGCAAGCAGGAGCAATGGACCCGCGGGGATTGGGTTAGCACTGTGGTGATATCCATGGCAGGCAGCATCTGAGAGATTATATTCAAAGGGGGAGGAAGAATTGGGCACCAAGCAACTAAATGTCATGCGACACAGCTTTCAATGCTCAGTCATTGCAACACAACTATACCTAGTCACCAGCCAGCATCTTTGCCAAACAAGGGTTGCATTGTCGGTATGTGGGGTGCAGAAAGCTTCTGTAGAATGGGGACGGCGAGGGTGGCCGCATTCATCAGGTGTGGCTGCCATTTGGAATCAAGGATGCGGGCGTGCAGTGTAGGTGGTGATGCTGCTGGGCTGCAGGGGCAGCAGCTGTGGGCAAGGGGCAAGCGGACCGTGGCCGTGTTGGGAGGCGCTGGAGGCATAGGGCAGCCCTTGAGTTTGCTCCTGAAGCTCAACCCTCTGGTATCGGATTTGAGGCTGTATGATGTTGCCGGCACTCCCGGTGTGGCTTGTGACCTCAGCCATGTCAATACTCAAGCAACAGTGAGCCTTCATGAATGAGTGAATGACTGACTGACTGCTTCCAGAATTGAACTCCCAAGTCGCCCGCCTGCGCTCGCGTGTGTGTGTTTTTGCATGTTGGGAATTTCAGGTTGCATATATTAGTAATTCAATGGAGAATGTGGAGTTGTAGATATGTGATATAACTGCATTAGAGCCAAAATTTCAAAATGACTGTTGTTTAAGTTTTATTGTCACCATGATTGTTTGTTTGTTACGTGGCTTTATATATATATATATATACATATATATATATATACATATATATCACTTGTAGAGTCTTCTTAATTAAGAACACCTTGCTTTCACTCTTTCTGAAATTTAACTCCCACATGTGTTAAGGTGGAAGGATACGCGGGAGATGCGGAACTTGAAAAAACATTGAAAGGATGTGATCTTATTATCATCCCTGCTGGGGTGCCTCGCAAGCCCGGCATGACCCGTGACGATTTGTTCAACATCAACGCCGGCATCGTCAAGAGTTTAATGATCGGCATCGCCAAACATGCTCCCAAAGCATTGGTGAACATCATCAGCAATCCCGTCAACTCCACGGTGCCGATTGCTGCTGAGGTGCTTAAAAAAGCTGGGGTATTTGATCCCAGGAGGCTGTTTGGAGTGACAACGCTCGATGTGATGCGTGCTAGGACTTTCTATGCCGCCAGGATGAAAACTCCCGTCAAAGGTAAACCCCAAGTCAAAAATAATATTACTGCAATCTTATCTTCGATGACCCAAATGCTTATGTTTAATAGTATTCACAGAACATCATTTCTAAGGTTACCCAATACTGTGATTATTTTTCCTATTGAAAAAAAACAAACAAACAAACAAACAAACAAACAAACAAACTGAGATTGTAAAGTGCTCCTTTGTCTGTTTATTGTTGTTACTATTACTTTTTGTTATAAAATTTGGCTTCTACTTGTGCGGATGTAGATGTGGATTTGCCTGTCATTGGTGGCCACGCGGGAATAACAATTCTTCCGTTGTTATCACAGGTTTGCTGCAACTCACACTCTGCCCTCGTTTGTGCACTTCTTTACACATGGATCCATACTGTCTTTTTACGTATGTTGTTATTTTTATTGTTCTTTTCTTTTTGATCTGCATTTTCATATCAGTATTTAGCAAAATTTTAGGGTAGAAGGTTTCTTTTTTCTTTCTTTCTTTTTTCGGTTGAACTCTGTGTACAGTTTATTCTTTGATACCTAACTGAACTGGGTTGTGAGATCATTGTTTTTGTAGGTTAAACCAAAGAAGAATATGACAGAAAAGGACATTGATGCTCTAACCAAGCGGATTCAAGATGGCGGAACAGAAGTAGTGCAAGCCAAAGCTGGAAAAGGCTCTGCCACTTTATCAATGGCGTAAGCAAAGCAAAATTCGAAAAATCTAAACTTCATCTCTTCAAATAAATTCTCGATGAACTCAAAGAAAATTAAAACTTGATCACTTCAAACAAAATTACCAAATATACAACACAAATTAGATAATCAAATGAAAGAATTTACTATCCTTCACTGTAGTTGTGTAATTTTTATTATACATTTGCCAAGCAATAATAGCCCAATTTTTTTTTTTAAATTAAAGTTATGTTGTCTTTGGGGTTTTCGCAAACCACGTTACAATAAGTTGCCTAAAAAGTTTCTACAAGCTTCAACTTTTCATTGATAATTTCGATTAACTACATTTAGCACATTTACCAAAGTATGTATATGATTTTTGAAAGGTATATGTGAAGCATTTATGTAGATATGATTTTATAATTGAGCAGTACAGGAATGTAAAACTTATTAGCCACAATTATCAATGTACAATAGTACATTTGATTTTGAAGATTTAATCACACGTTTATTTCTTGTCAATGTCTATCAGCTTTGCTGGAGCTCTCTTTGCAGAGGCTTGTATAAAAGGCTTGGAGGGTGAAAAAAATGTGGTGGAATGTGCATATGTAAAGTCAGATGTTGTCAAAGGCATACCATTTTTTTCATCAAAGGTAAGTTACATTTTTAAACAGCCATTTTTATTTTTTACTACCTTATTTTTGTAAAAAAATTCAAAACAAAAGATTACAAAAATTCGGTTCATTCTAGTGTTGATGTTTCTCATTTCTGATCTAATGAATTCTTAACCAACTTATTTTTTAGACTTTTGTTTATTCTGTAATTCTTCTTTTAAAGAATAAACAATTGATGACATGAATCATATTTAATTCTAAAACATTACAAATTTAGTTTTGGAGGGAAAAAGAGCTCTTGCTTGCTTCAACTTTATACAGTATAACCAATCTCATAACAGAATGAAATAAAACAAAACATTCTTTCACTTTCCTTAAATCAATGGTTATGAGTTTCAAATTTCTAGATTTTTTTTTAATGATAGGTACAATTGGGACCCAATGGCATAGAGAAAATATTAGGTTTAGGAGAGCTCTCGGCTTATGAGCAAAAGGCTTTGGAGGCCATGAAAAAAGAGTTATTGAATTCCATTACAAAAGGAATAGATTTTGTGAAAAAATGATTAGAAAAAAACGTTTGCAAATTGTATACACATTTAAATCCATGGTATTCAATATATTACAACCATTCTTTTTGTCCAATTGTTAGTAAATAAATTTTCTTATATCATTGTAAATTGTTATGTTGCCCTTTACTACATTGTATGTTCACATATTCAATATAATTATTTCTACTTCTTCTTTTCTCATTTTTTGAATAATCCAAGAAGTATTAAAAAGAATTCTTAATATTTTGAATTTGAAATTTTCTGAATATGAAAATATCTTTTAAATTAGTTAACATCTTTGAGATAAGAAAATCACCAATTGTTATTCTTTTCATTTGTATTTTGGATTGAAATTCATATACATTAACAAATATTAAATATTAAAATTTTATTTGAAGTTTTGTGAATGAAATTCATTCAGTATAATTTTAAAGAATGGTGTTAAAAACAATTGGAGTTTGTAAAGGAAATGTTTAAATGAGCACATGAATGGTTTTGTGATATAGAGTTATGTTTTTGAAGTCGAAATCTCTTCATCCTTCTATGTATTTTATTTTAGAACTTATAAATTATTTTTAAAAACTTTGATGCTAAGCAATATTTTTAAGAATTTAGAAACCATTTTACAAGATGCTTATTCTGTGTTATTGTTGCTGATGGGTGTGACTCAGTATTTCTTAAAATAAGGCATTACTTTAATTTCAATCAGTGCACTAAATAAGTTAACCTTGAAATATAAGTATAAAGTTAAAATGGAATATTCATAATTTTTGATGAAAATTTCTCTAAACTTGCATTCATTACATTTAAAAGAGGGCGCAACATTTGGGCGTTTATATTTTATTGATAAACTGATATTTTTCGATTTGGTGTATCCGATAACAGCAAATAATAACGTTTTTGCAATAATTTACGTACATCAATAGATTGCATTCAAATTTTTATTTCATCAATAATGATACAAGTTTCAAAATACGTATATTTTTTTAATTTTCTGAAAAGTATCTGTTATTTTATTTTTTATTTTTTTCTAAATCCTGCATTATCAGAGAAAAACAGTACTTCAAAGCCACAGAGCAGAACAAAAATTATTTTATTTCAAAACTAGCAAGGCAACAATTTAAACCTTCAATTTTCACAACAAACATAACTTTATTTTGTGATCAATTAATATGTCTTAAAATCTCTCATTCCACACACATATATATATATATATATATATATATTGCTACTGGAACCACAATTTATTCTTATTCACTTTCAATTATTATCTTTTATTTGAATTAAATTTATCTTCTGCATAATTGGAAGAAAATAAAATGTGTTAAAAAAATTATTGGATTAGAATAAGAAAGAAAAAAAAAAAAAAAAAAAAAAAAAACACACACACACACACATGTTGAATGGATGACAAGTTGTGGTGGCATTAGTAAATGTTTCATGGTGTTTTCCTTGAATTTTCAACAGTTAAAAAAAAATTGTTGGTATTTTTCATGATCAAGATTTGCAAACTAAACAGATAATTGTGTGAATATTATGTTAAAATTAAAATATTTACCAAAAATTGTCATGACTTAGATGAAATTTACTGCAAGACATGCTGATATAATATAAGATTATGAGTGATTTTAGTTGTAAGTTTATTATCATTTCAAAAAACAAATCTGCAAGAATTTAGTTTATAATCTGTATATTATAGAATATTATAAATACTATGAATGTATGCTAATGGGATGATCATATTAATTTATGCATGGCAAAGAAGAAAACAATCCGGAACAGCCTTCAAAATTCGATTAAAAAAAAAAAAACAAACAAACAAACAAAATTTAAAATTATGTGATTATTTTATTAATTCGATAACTCAATTTTCAATAAAGTGTTTTATATTTTGATTTTGTAAAAAAATATTAGTTACATATTAATTGATAAGTTTACTTTATTTATCAACTTCTAGGTTTATTCAATCAATACACTTTCTAACGAATTCATAAACTTCAGGTTCTTTTATCTTTGCAGTTTTACAAAGCAAACAAATAATTTGATGCGGTGGTTATGAGTTTTAATTTACCTTAAACTGTAATAAGTTTCTTTCTTAACATGTAACGATGGGAAGTATTACAATTCTGAAAATTGTATGTAAAATAATTAAATCTACATGGTTTTAAAGACTTGATTTTATTTATTTATTTATTTTCAATCATCAACAAAACGTGGTAATTTTTATACTTTTTAATTTTATTATTTATTTTTACAATTCAGCTCATAAACATGTAACAAAATCCATCCATCACGCACGATTGATACACGTGGCAGTCGAATGTAATTCATCCATCGAAACCTCATCCGGCGACATCCATCCATCAGGGGAAGGGGGTAAGCCAGCAGCCAAGAGCTGAGACAGACTTCGACCCGCCTTGTGCCCTTGGCCTTCCAAGACACACAGAAAGGCAGTGAAGGAAAAAGTAAAAGGAAAAAGGAAAAAGGAAAAAGTAAAGGGAAGGGCAAAGAGTTCGTTGCTTGAAGAGCAAGGCGGCTATGGCGATGTTCCCGCGCCTTGCATCAATCGCAAGCCCCTTAAGGGAGAAAGGAGAAATGCGAAAGGGTCCACTTCTATTTCGAGACCGTCGTGTATTTTAATATATTTAAGTTGCGGAGCTCCAATTAAGCTTGCGGTAGGGTTTCAATTATTTTTTGTATGTATGGATGGATGGATGCAGAGCCCTGTGGTTATGGTGACTGAGCTTGTGGAGGTGATGTGTTCAATGGCGGGTCGCGGCGATCTTTGTTGCCGACGACTGATTTGAGAGAGTTTGCGGAGATGACGATTTGAGATTTAGCAAAAGGAAATTCTACTACTGGAGTGTGTGTGTGTGTTGGATCAGTTTTCAAGGATATTTGCGGGGGGTGTTTCAGCTTCAGGGAGCTCATTTGTCGGAGAATCTACTGGCGGTTTTTTTGAATATTAGTGTAGTGATAGGTTTCCTTGTTCGTTACTAAGACGATCCGCTGCCGAATCAGAGATTTGATGAATTGCGAAAAAGAGCTGAATGGTAGTGAAATAGTTCTCGGATAAGAAGAGAATAATCGTTGTGACGCACATGGTGTCAAACCTTTAAAAGTAACGCTGAATCCTGATACGAGCGGAATTATTATTCGTGAGAAATGAATTAAGATGAGTTGAAGCTTATGCTCTTACTGCCAAGAACACAAAAATCGATTATTGGACAGGAAGAGAAATGAACAGAGGAGGTAGCTCTTTGTCGACGAGTAATCCATGTCACGAAATGAGACACTGAGGAATGTAGTCGTCCTAGAGGTACGCTTGGGAAGGTAGGGTGACATTTGGCTTGCCAGCGAGGAAAAGCAGGGGGGAAGAAATGAAGCGCATATTATGCCTTAAAAGTAGTAACGACTAGTTTTCAAAGTGGCGACGGACGTGGACGAGCATTGGGCAAGTTCTCAGCCTACGAAAACAGCACAGACCATCAAATTATCACACTTTAAGATATTGGACAGAATTTTCGGATGGTCGCACAGTGTTACAGTTGAGCAGTAGTTCGGATGCTCCAATGTGCTGTCAAGAATAGCTTCTGAAGGAAGCTCTTCAAAAATAAGTTATTATACTGTAACGGGTCTGTAGACGTAGCTCGTCTCTTGAATGAATTGCCCAAGTTCAGCAGATGGCATTGACGAGAGCGTCGAAGAGGTAACAATAGACTCATCGTTGCTTTATCTGTTGGACCATGCGAAGTTCTTTGTCTAATGAACAATCCGCGATTGGATTGTCCGGAGTAAGAACCGTTCGCGAGGGAAGTAGAGCTTAGAACAAGCCAAACGCAGGTGGAGCTGGGGAGTAGAGATGTCAATAGGGAGCGCTACTGAAGAAAGCTGCGCGAACAGGTGTGAGGTCAGTCTGTAACTTGAGTGAGTTTTCTGTTCACCTGGAAGCTCTTGTAACTCAAGTTCATAGCTGTGTGTGCCGACTCCTCCTCCACGGCTTTGTGGGTTCACAACCAAGCGATGAGCCATGGTCTCATCGTGTAATAGATTTATGAAGATATGGAAACTGTTTATTGTCTTTACCCTCATCTTCTCGCATCCATCAACGTCAGAGGCGAATTTGTGGAATTGGTTGCCCTTGGGGCCAGCAGCAGTGCATTCCGAGCCGCCTTTACAGGATCGGCAGCGCTCTGGCTCTCGTCCTACGGACCTTGCGAAGTTCGACATTGAGTCTGGAGTCTTTTTGAGCAGCTCCAGGGGCAAAGATCTTGTAGAGAAGGCCCGTCACCAAACTGCGAAGCATTCTTGTTGGCACAATGCGTATTCTGATTTGCTCTCCTCTTGCCGAGAAATTTTGAAAGAGGAAGAGAAGAAGGCTCGACTGGCGATGAGGCTTACAAATTGTTTTCTGAAGGTTTCGGAGAGAGATGCAATACACTGCCCTGACAGTGTTCCCATTTCTAAGTGTACCAGTGGCCTGAGCGACCACATTAATTCGATCTTCCTTGCCTTCTTCATCGACGCAGCTTCTATGTGCCACCATCTTCAGTATGTATCTCCTTTTACCCATATTTTTATGTCATACTTGGATTGGGGTGCTTCCATTTCCTCTTCGAATTTTATATCGTTTCAATCCATGACTTGTAAAACTTTCAGTGTAGGGATTCTTTAGTTGGTGAGGTTTGTCAGCTACAGCCATACTTCATTCCAATTCCTCAAAAGGAAGTCTCATCTACTTCAATAATCAATACTGCCAGTGAGATACTGCTTTCGCAGATTTTGTATCCCCACTCAAGCCCCCCCCCCCCCCCCCCTTTCCTCTCATCAACAGAACAATTTTCCTTACAAAAGTCTGGTGAACTGCTACTGACGTACTAATCTACTTTTGTTTCCCACAAAATAGGAGCGAAGCTTTCAAGCAGGAAACGGAGCATGTTATCAATGAGCTCAAAGGATCTGCACATTGGGTGGAGGATCAGCTCAAGACAATGGAATCACAGACAAGCACCATAGTTAAACAAAACGAAGATGTGATTGCTGAGCAAAAGCTGCTGCAGACCAAAATGCAAGAGCACTCAAATCAACTTGTACAAGAATATCATCGCTTGCATTCTGAATTGCGAGAAAGGGTTAAGGACGGTTTCTCAGGTGTGTACCAATATTGGGGAGCCCTTCTTTCATGACCCTGAGAACACATTTGTCGGTTTACTCTGTCAATGCATCTCAGACATTATCTTTCAACCTGCTGAAGGAATGTGTAGAATTTCACATCAAGAACATTCTTCAGGCGTTCGTTTACTTGTTGTTTGTGGTGTTTTTGTCTTCTTTTCAAGTAAGTCTTACAAGCGGACGGTAATGAAGTTTTTTTTGTACGATGAATCTCTAAATCAAATTTGATGATCGTGTCTGTCAGATTTAAGCTTTGCAACAAAGGAGGTTCATGCGCAGTTGCAAGGAGTTGGATCATTGCAGAAGGAGATGTCTTTTCATCAAAAAGAGATCTTAGACCAGCAAAAGGACATGTCCGACCACCAGCGCACTTTAGCAAACTCACTTTCGGTAGAGTTCGCTACGTTACATGAAAAAACTCATGAAATATCAGCTTCCATGTCTGAAGAATTCTTAAGTTTACATCAGAAGACTCACGTGATATCAGACTCTTTAGGCAGTTTGCAAGAAAAATCGCACGTCATAGCCGATTCTTTGGTCAGGGAGTTCTCTAGTCTACATAAAGAATCTCAAAAGATAACTGAATCTTTGACGGCTGAGTTCTCAAGTTTACATGAGAGGTCTCACCAATTAGCCGAATCTTTGACGGCAGAGTTCTCCAGTCTGCATGACGTTACACATGAAATCGACAACGGCGTTCAAAGGTCAGTTTTTAGATGCACTCACCGTTGCCTTGAGGAACGATTGACGTTAACCATTGTTGACACGCATGGGATGCTGTGTTTCTATTTAGTTTTGTATAGTCAGCAAAGAAGTGCTGATCGAAGTGACTTTATTATTGAATCAGGTCTTTGACTGGGCAGAAAGCATTGCTCGATGGTCAGGTACAAGCTGAATTAGGACTTTACAATCTGAAGGAGTTGCAAGAGAATGCCTTGGAAGAGAGCCGTGCCGCAGTGCTGGCTCTCACTCGCGAGGCTAAGATGCATCAGCAGGAATTTCTTGCATGGCAGACTAAACTTCAGATGATGCATGAACAGCTGACAAGTGGTTCAAATGCAATGCTTGAAGCCCAGGTGATTCTATATGTCCTACGTTGTGCTCCTTACTATTTTGTAACTCACCGATTTCTGTAGGGCAGTTACAAGTCAATTACACAACTAAGGAACACCAGATGACTCTCAAAATGAATCATCTTTCCTCCTTATCTTGATGTGAGGATAGTTTTCCACCTGCTTACTCTACAGCCAATGCAGCTTCGGTATCTTGAGGATGTCCTCGCTTTCGTTGTAAAGCTAATAAGTGTTGTGCTTCCAATATATTGATGCCCAGGACCTGTAAAATACTGTTCCAATCTTAACAATCGTGGTGATCGATGCATGCAGGAATCGTTTGTATCAAAGCAAACAGCGGTTTTTGCATCTCTTGAGCGGCTATTCTCTTTGCATAATGCGATTCTTTTGGAGTCCAGGGCTTTGAAGACCTTCTTATTTTACTTTGCTACTTCCATTTTTGTCTACATGAGCACCAGCGCGAAGCAGACTTGCAGCGCACGTCCTCTCCTTTACTGCGGTATATCTTTTCAGACTCCTCCATAAAATAAAAGTAACTTTTTCTATCTAGCTGTGTTACTCTCGAATGATACATTTCTTCGTAGCCAAACTTTGGGCGCATTTAAAATTAATTTTCTCAGAACTGCAATGAGTACTGACGTAGTCAATAGTCGTCAATTCAATCAAATATTTAGTAAAGATATCACGACAGGTGTATCTGGATTAGCAGGTTTGCTTTTATTGTCACGTCTTTCAAGTCAGAAATGTTTCAAATCCATTGAGGTCGTGGGAATTGATGCAAAATTGTAGGTCTTGTTCTCACGTTTGCTGTGGAGCTGTGGATCCTTCGTTGCCAAAAAATTGCTGCACGAGGACTGCATCAAATCTTGTCGTCGTTGATTTATCCTCGGTGGACATATGGGATAACAACTGTCGCCCTTCTTATGTATAGTGTATTCACCTACAGGTACTGTCCATTTTACACAGTGTCAAGTTCCACTTGTAGTTAAATGTTCCTGGTTTGTTTAGGTCTACTACAATCACTTCGACATGACGTCACATCTTCTGTAGCTATTTCATGAGCAGTTCGTATTGTAATATTTCGAAGTTCTAAATGTGATCAAGTCCTTCTTGCTGCAGGGATTATTCAACAATGAGTTACGAGATATTACTGGATTTGCAAGAACGTCTTAAGGGACTTCCCTCCACTTCGCCGGCTGCATACGAAGAGATTTATCATCAAACCGCAACACCTGTCTCTAAAATCTCGCGCTCCAATGACTCATACGAGAGGATGCTTGCCAAGAAGATTGTGCGTCGGGCTCGTGCTTGTCGAAGTAAATATTTGCGGTGAAAGCTTGTGGTGCTCTTTTCATCACTTCCCATCTCCTATTTTCTATTCACAGTAATGAAACTTGATTTTATAAGTTTCACACTTTAAGGATAACTTTTAGAATTTGTAAACTGAGGTTTCAGTTGCCGTTGTTATAGATAGATGATAAGTGTTTCCATATAGTTGGCTTGGCTAGGGTTTAGAATGCGCACCTGGAGAAACACATGTCTTAATCACGTATATAGGTCTGTCATCGAGCTAAGTAACGTAACGTTTGGATAATATACTTTTCGCCGTCACACGCGCGTCTTGTTACAATCATCTGGGGTATCACCTTCGATTAAGTCGTGACAGAAATGAATTCTGGAAACATTTTAGGTTGCGTTAGATAACTTATCCACACCAATTTCTGATTTGCAACCTTTGGTTTTTTGTCAGTACTTAAATTTTCATATTCATTGCTTCTTTACCGTGGCTGATTCTGATGTAAGGTGATCGAGAGTTAGATATATCCAGATTGTTTTAGAATTCCGAATTTTAGACGAAGGATCGGAGGGAGTCAATGTGATCGATTCGAATAATGTATTCAGTGTCGAGTAAAATGATCACCCTAGTCTTAGCGTCATGCGCTTCAGCGGATGCTGATTGTAAGGTATCCATAATGCAGACTTCGAATGGAACTGTCATGTCATGCCTCCTGTCATGGGATTGACAATATATTCGGTAGTGATGAGGCTGCATTGAGCTTATTTCTAAGCTTGCCTGATCGCTGTTTGTTTTGAAGGTAATCTGATTACATGGTTGCGCACATCCTGGATCTCGAGTGCTGTGTGCAAACAGGAGCCTCTACCTACTTCACCTGACGGTGCTTTGGATGCCCTGACACAAAGGTTAGACGATGGCTGCGAAGACCCTGATTACAAGCCACCGTTGGATTTGGACACTATACCGTTGGATTTGGACACTATACCAATGGATTCGGACACGCCACCGTTGGCATCCCCTACCCACAGCTACAACCTTCGACCTCGAAGGTATGACTTGACTTTATTATTGTGATGTATTACGTCAGTTTGTATCTCATCACATGTCCCGTCTAGAATTTAGATGGATCACCAAATCCGTTGCTTGATAGAAATCATCAGGTTCAGTGATTTTAGCTGCAATAACTGGCCTGCCGTAATATTTTACAGGAAATCTTTCTGGACCGAACCTCATGTTGGTTACAACTTTTTTTTTTTTTTTTTTTTTTTTTTTTTTTGTCTTTCTCGTATACTTCACGTCAAGGATTCACTTCGTTCTTCATGATTTGTAATGTGCATAATTTATTTTTGAGATACACCAAGATGATACGAGGTCTCTTTTGATGATGTGCGAGGTTGTCAAACCGCAAAGCCAAATCCTCATTTTCTACGACCGTGATCTGAATGTGTGCATCTCTTTTACTCCATGCAGGAGAAGCCGAGTAGGCTCTGAAACTGTGTCCTCCTTGCGATTCGAATCGGCGGATTCATACACTAAATCAACTCCAAAATTATAGAAGGTTTACAATGCTGGTGTGCTAAATATCGCCTAGCACACATGCCAATTAGATCGTTCATTGTACAATTATGTTGCAAGTCATGTATATGACATCGTCTATCATCATTACCCAATATATGACGGGACAGAAAACAGGTGGTTAATATAAGCACCTCGAATTTTGAGATTGTTTACTCTTCTTACTAAGCAACTCCAATAATACGTTATAGACGTCGGCGGAATTATCATTTTGGCAGTTCCAGACGATTCCGTCCTCATCAAATTTGAGAAGTGCTGCTAATGTAATGTGTAGCTTTTCGACCTTCTAAAGCTCAGGCATTGTTGCAGAGAGATCCTAGTGTCATGGTAGCCTCAGCAGATAAATCATTGCATTCTTCGAATGTAATGGAATCACTTATCCCCAGCCCTTACTGGTTGGCTTTTGTCTATAATATCTTATGGTACAAAATTGTAATAGACTCAATTTTCATATGGCATTGGCCACATAGAATAAAGATCGGGAGTCGTTCTCGAATCACATCTTGCAATTACTTGTTCGTGACCCACCATCAGCAGCTACTTCTCTGCGTTGTTGAATGGAATCTCCACTGTGTTACCGAAATTGTCAATGCGACCAACCCTAGCTAGCGCGAACTATGCAGTCACTAATCTGTTCAATTTCCACAGTCTTGAAATTTCCTGCACACTTGAATGTTATCTAATTCGGAAAGGCTCTAAGAAAACCTCATGATACCCTTCACTCGTCTGTGCAGATACTTGAACAGTCTGTGGGAAAGCACATGTGAATAATTGTGCACTGAAGGAGAGGAGAACCAGGAGCTATGAATAGTTGATGAGGGTCAAAATCATCATCTGCATTCGTCGGGTTTAGCAAAGCCAAGGACACCGAAGGGGCCAGAAGTCCATGGATGAAAGACCGTTTCTATTCTCGTTTCATTAGGGTTTAAGGATTCTGGCGAGCATTGTTCCGGGACTGGAGCCATTTCCACGCCGAGAATCTGTCTGTGGGGACATAGTTGATGCTACGACTGCTGTCTGTGGAGTCGTTTCTTTGATTTGTACCCTTTCTTCGTTTGCCTATTCAAATTCATTACTGCTCAAGCTTGTCTACATATTTTGGCAGTAAGTGTGGTTAACAAAATTTTCAGTGCTCTATTGAAATTCACACTGCGAACGTGAAGTCTGATAAATTACGGGGATTAGGCATTTGGGTACTAAGTGGTCTGTTAGTTGTGGATTGTTCGGTTCTATTGTTTTCGATCTTTGTCTTTTTGTGATGTTAATGTGCATGTTGAGGTGCATGTTGCTTCCAACGTCTGTGACATGAGATGCTTCTTATAATTTCGATTATGAAATGAACTGCGAGTGTGTGTGTGTTTTGTCTACTTTCTGTATACGAATGCGTTTTTGGTGAAATTTGCGATTTCGTACTCGTTATTGACATGTTGAGTGCCGGTCGTTTCCGCAGATATGGAGGATCTTTCGACCGGCACCGAATTAGGATGTGAGGTGTCGGCAACCATCAACCTAGGGGCAGAAGAGCACGAGGTAGTGACATTGCAGTGCTCGAAGGAAAGTCTTCTTTCGGCGACATTAGTCGACCTGAAGGAGAAATGTATGCAAATTCTAGGAGCTCATTTGCAGCGGCATTCAGTGCCCTTAGATGAACCTGACTTGGACGTACTTGACGAGACATATGTTGAAGATGAAGACACAGAGGAGGAACCATTGCCAGTTGAAGGTGCGGCCCCACCTAGGAAAAAAAGTAACTCAGAAAACTCCAGACCTCAGACCTCATTGCTCCCTTGCTTATTCATCTCATCTTGTGGAACTTTGTTGCTTCAAACCTAGGGTTAACTTTCATTTCATTCAAATAAAGAATTGTAGAGTTACTCTGCAGCATATCTGTTTTTATTCATTCTTTGTTTTTGAGCTTATCTCGGTTGGATAGGTTTGTTTTCTGACGCACAGGTTCATGTTGCGGTACCCAGATAAAACCAACAAGAACTGAAGCGGGGTTCATCTAAATAAAAAGATGATACATACGTGTTTTCACGTTGCTAGCTGAGGATGGCAGCGTTGTGCCGTGTTCTCTACAAGAACAATGGAAAACTCGATAACGTGTTTCCCTGAAATGGAAATAGCTGCTTAACCTGCGGAGATTGCGACTGACTTTGCGTGGTTCAGCTGGAGAACATTGATGCTGTTGGAAATTCGAAGGATTAGCACAGGGAACATGTGATCTTGGATTCAGAAAAGTATCGCTTCAGAAATTTTGGTCTGTCTACTAGAGCTTTTTAGCTTTTGGTTAAGCTTTCCAGTGTAAGTACATGTGTAGCATATCTCTGGTAGATCCGCCAACTTATTTATGTTCTGTATATTGAGTCATTGATATGACCTTTCTGAGCGTATTTGAAAATATTTTTTTATTGTTCCAATCTAGCGTCTTCACTGCTCAATTGGGTCATGCAAAGCAGTAGCTAACTCCTGATTCCTAAACGAGAATTCTCATCCTTTTGAGCCAGATTAAGAATCTCTGATTTGGCCTAACCTCTCACGATGCAACAGTAATGGCCGAGTTGGAGAATGGCGGAGTGCACGAGTTATGTGATTAAATCACTACGAGAGCGACGTTCTGCTAAATCTCAGTGTGTCGGAAGAAATCTGCCGGGTTAGGGTGGAATTAATTCGGAACGCTCTTTGGAAAGGTTGCGATGATAGTCCGTGTTGTCACGGATTATTTATACCCTTACTCTTTGTGTTACCCAGGTTCAAAGCGGAACCCACAATGATGGAGACCAGTAACACTAAATTCAGTGATGAAAAGCACTTGAGCTCAAGAATGTTACAGCTACTCTTGGGGTTCCCAAAACCGAACATGATTTTTAGGGGAAGAATTTAGTTGGTGTGTGTCATATGATTTTCTGAGTGTTCTGTCACGAAAAAATTGCATAACTTTGAAAAACGATTAATGAACGGAAAAGCATCCTTAACTGTGCTAGGCAGAAGTCATCTATGGATTGAAACAGTTGCAATATTATCAATTGTGACCACCCCATGTATCAAGTCGTGGTCACCTGAGAGAAGCACCAATTCGGCCACTGCGAGAGCAACTTATCGGAGTCACCCGTACCGAAAACTAGCAAAAGTCGCTACATTTCTGATAGAAATGTAGCGTCCTATTCCGGCCAGGGTCAAAATCTTTACTAGAATCAGGTTTTTCCACCAGAGGCAAAGAGAATCATCTGGGTCAGGCTCTTGTTCGTTGATTGCCTCAACTGTCACTGTAGGGTCATATGAACTGAAGCTGTGGAAGCGGATTCATCGGGATCAGGTTCCTCACCGCGAGGTAGTCCACTGAAGAAGGAAAACAGTATATAGAGTTAAGGAATCACTGGTATTAAAGGTTCTCGCAGCAGATGACGCGACAGTCGAGAACAGTGTGAGTCCTACAACCACGAAAATCATGGAACAGTCTACAAAAGAAAGTAATGGCACTGAAGCGATGAAAGTGCTGCGTACCTACTGCAAATCACAGCATTAGAGACACTAGGGATATTTCACTTGACCTCCTGCAAATTAACATTGCAAATATCAAAATTTACCTGGTAACCAACTTTCAGGAGCATGTTAAGAGCCCTTACGCTTCCCTGGCCCCCTTCGCAGATGATATCATCATCCTCAACAGAATACTCTACAGATAGTGGCACACAAGATTAGATCAGAGAAATATGCACAAAGGTGCACGTACCAAAATCCCCATACTTCTAACAGAAAACTATTTTCAAGCCAAAATACCACATGGAGTCTCTAGCACTAGTGACATCCTACGATCCTGCTCCTAAATCAGCTTAAACGAAGGTCTTGCAGGAGCCTCACACAAGCCCCTGTGTTCAACGGAGTAATCAATGTCATAAGAACAAAACTTAGTGAATTTCACCTTAAAACAAACTTAACATCCTGAATGAACTTAACCCGTGTTAACTGTTGTTGGTGTATACTTCAATTGTGTGGAGGTTTCGAAGGGTTCCAAAAGATTTGATTAGGGTTCTAGAGGTTTTGGATTTCTATGCATCAAATCCTAGTATGAATCAATTTTAGGTTGTATGATCGTAGCATTTCGAGAGCATTCTAAACAGCGTAACGGAAATAACAGCTCACCCACATCTCAAAATAGACAGACATGTATTGCAATCCAACGGGAAACTGTAACCCAACACCCAAACAATCCACCTGAAGTTGTTGACCTAATCTAAGCAGATTATCTCAAAGCAAAATCTGCACAGGTCCTCTCACACCTCCAAGAAACCGAATATCATGAACGTCAACCAACTTCAGCACTAATTGTTCACTCATTCACTCATTTTGGCAAGAAACTCGTTACCACCACAACCTCCGATCAGCACACAAAAACATGTACTCTACATCATGGAGACCTGCAAACACTGTACATGAGATGCTCATGGTGAAGACCTAGTCTCATAGAAAAACTTCATCGAGTAGGGGAGGTTCATGCACAGGCCTTATTGGCTTATGACCGTGCCATAGCCCTTGACCTTGACGTCCATCTTCATTGCGTCCTTGAAAAACGGAGTATGTTCTGCACCCAGCTTCTCAAAAGGGCATGTTGTGACAGGAATCGGCACACATTCTTAAAGTTTATTTACATGAAAATGTTGATGGAAGAAACACTAACACAAAGAAGATTGATTTCGTCACATCGATAGAGTTCTCACAATTGTGATTTCTCACAATTCACTTAAATAGTTCACATTGTTGTTGATTATCTCGGGAAGGCTTCTTGCTGTTCTGATTAGTAACTTTATTTTCAGTTTTATATAAAATGGAAACTTACATTTTCTATAACCTATTTTGGATAATATTGTAGTTTTGAGGACGTGCTGTCAAAACAAAGCAACAAAAAATTATGAAAAAATATCATAATAAATATGAATATCCATGTTAGAGAATAAGGTGATCAACAACGCAGAAATGCGTAACCACATTTCGCTGCTTCTTCCAATCGAAGATAAGTTTTATCAATTGAGTGGAGATGGATCCTGAAATAAGCCAGGATTCATCAAAGAATCACAATGCCACGTCTCTGAAGAATTTGGGCGGAGATTAAGCCCGGGACGAGCTAGGATGCGTCGAAGACTTGCAACGCTACATTTTTAGAGATTGTCACACAGGTGGCCAAGGAATTATGTACACCACTCTGACGACCCTACCGCAGTTTTCTTCCAATTCATCACATTTTTTTTTCTTGTGCTAAGCTACAACAAGACCAAACTAGCCTCGATTAAGAAGCTACAACACATTGTATTTGCATTCCGGAACCTGGGTCTCGTTGTATCGCTTCTTGTCGTCGCAGTAGTTGTAGTGCACCAAGTCACGCCTCACCTGCCGCATCTGTCGAATACGCAACATGCCGAGCAGATTACGCGGCCTAAGTGCATACTTACTGTTCTGACACGCTGTGATGCTAGCTTGGTCACCTTGCTTGGCAACGCAGCCATTGAGCCGAAAGTTCTCGTATGTCGCGATGAATGGCGCCTTGCCCCAGTTGAGCTTCACGCGACCCCCGCAAGTCGCCCAGCTACTGCCATCCCAGATGCTCAGGTACAACCCCATGGGACACTTGTTGGGGTACATGAAGTTGGGCACGATGCCTTCTAGGTTCCTGAACATGCGGATGGCTGTGTTGTCAATGAAGAACACTAGCACGTCGTTGTTCCACTGGAAGTTGTAGTAGTGGAATGCTGCAGTGGGGTCAAACCATAGGCGGATCTGCTGCTCGCGGCCTCCGACGCCGTCGACGAAGATGTTGGTATGGAGAAGGTAAGGTTGGCCGCTGGAGTTGCCTAGGAACTCGAAGTCGAACTCGCAATGCTTCGGCCCAGTAGATGACATCTACATAGATCAGAACCCCATCGAGAATGTATAGTCAGTATCTGCCACTGACCACGCTGATGGAATTTGCTTCACACAACGGCATTGCATGTGATTGTGGTAACTATGTTGATTAAATAAAGCAAAAGCAAGGGTCGTAGCAAAAGGTTTCGGAAAAAACACTTACGTAGAATGTGGTGACAGTTCCAGCGGAATCGTTAGCGGGGAGCTTGATCCAGGCCCCGATACCCCCAAACAGCCACGATTGCTTAGATCCCATGCCAGTATATGCTGCAACAAATTACAAAACATGCACATTCAGAAGTCCTGTAGAAAGACAGACTCTGGCTCGCTGGTAACTTAATTAACAGTTGTAGTGGTGCAGCTGTTCTAATGAACGATGGTACTCTCCCCGGGACATGAGGAAACAATAGGAGACCAGGTGAGGTGTGCCACCCGATTGTGAGCAAAGAGTGCACACTGTAGGAAAGGGATTGACTTACCCGAAGATGAATTGTTAAGCACGAGTTGCACTTTCCTTCCATTCTTATCCGGGATAATCTGCTTCGGCGTCCAAGAATTGAATGCAGCCTGAAGTCCTGGGTAACTCTGAGCTTGAGCGCCGATAGCCATGCTCAAGTAAAACAAGACACCGACCAATAAACATCCTTGTCTTCCCAAGGAACCCATTGTCGATACTTCTCGAAATACTATCTCGTTGCGCACTTCAAAGTTCAACTTCTAAACAGTACCGAACAAGTGCTGTTCAAGCTGGCCCGGAAACCTGGTTGCAAAAGACTTCCAGGAGCCTGAAACCTGTCGAAACTAAGCAGCGCGACTACGAGAGGCAACTAACATGTGGACTTTCTGTGAGCGCGATCCAGATTCGAAGTCCTGAGGGAACCTGCTCTTGCAATCTAAAGCTGCGGAAGCAGCCGAGACAGGCACACTGAGAGTTTGAGTGATGGTTGGGGTATATGAAGGAGTGAAGGGGTGTGGAGCCGCCGTGACTGCTAGCGAAAATTGTGCACAGATCTTCGGTTGAATTTCAATTTTCCTTGACGCGGCCCGCTCACTATTCTTCGACACGCAGAGCGCGGCCATGCATGCTCCAGTCTATTTGCATCCGTCATCAATCTTTTCCTGCCGAACGCCCCCAAATCGAGTCGCTTCTTCGGCACTATTTTAGATATCCCAGAAAAAGGAAAACAAAACTAGAAATCTACTATCGGGCATGGAAAGGAAGTTGAGAGCCTAGTACTTCCTCGGAACCCAACACGCAGTCAAGAGATTCATGGCCGAAAGCAGAATTTGTCTCTTCGAAAAGGGATATTTCATGGATTCTGTGGCACAAAGCATTATTTTAAACAATGTATGCATTTACACCATGCTTGAAAGTTCCCATTGGTTACCAAGTCACACCTCAAATTACTACTGTGCTCAGAATTTTTCTGCTGAGAAATTTGGTCGCGAATGTGTTAATATAATAGCAATCGATGTGGTGAAGTAATCAGATATGCTGCTCAGCCTTTATCGTCTCGCCGATGGCCGATTACTCTGCTCCTAGAAATGCGCCGATCACAACAGGTTTTTGTCAGAATATCTTTATATAGTCCTAACTGAACATGACTAGCCTCCAATCGAGGCGCCATTCATTCAACCTTCCTCCATGCCTACAATTTTGCAGCCTGTTTCGGACTTCCTTGCTGAACACACACATGGCACCCCGGGAGCTACTGTTCCGTTGTTCCTTGGACACGCAGATTTATCTAAGAGCAATTTTTTAAAATTTTTAATATTTTTCCCCCCCTTTTTTAAAGCCACCCTATAGCACCACAAAATGCGTAACTCATTTCGGCAGCAACTCGAGTAGTTCATTACATGAAAATCTCCCTGCACAACTTGAAGAGTATTAGAGAAATGGTCTGGAATGGGAGTAACGACCTCCAGAACGAGACTGGTTCTTCTGGATATGGGAAATTTGCTCGGATTAGTTAAAGCCGAGACTGACATACTCGAATAACAAGTTTGGAATATAGTTCAACCAACACCCAGCTTGGCAATGGGAGTTAGAATGCGGCATTCAGAGCTGGTTTTCCTTCTATGCTAGTTGATTCCTGAATTGGGTGCAATGGACGGTTGAAGAGGATGCACCTTCTAAAGTCAGTCTCTTGCGGTGTGCCACGAAAAGTTGAATCATCACCTGTGAAAATTCGTCACGAAAAGGGGAAACGTTGCAGTGCATCGGAGTGCTTCACAACTAGCCTCACAACTCGCGCAGTTGCAAGTGGACATCTACAACCACAAGGCCGCCTTGCCTTCACTGTGGTTGGAATCTAAATACTCTGACATTCGGAGAGTTATATAAAAACATAACAACTAAAAACTATAGCTGACAAAACCACCTGATTCAGGTTGCGGTGAATTCCTAATATAGTGACAGCATGGAGTTCTCAGGTTCTCAAACTGTGCGCTCTTCTTCTATTCCTTCCATTGGTTCCTGTTTTTCCTCTCCCTTGACTTCACATCTATATTCCCACTTGCAGCACGCTGTTCTCCTTAGGGAAATCACATCTCCCAACTGGGTTTGTTACTTTTTTTTACTAATATTCTTATTTTTCTTATTATGATTCATTTCCTTATCCTGTTAGGAAGCGGTGAGTTGTCGATGACGAGGAAAGTTGGCTGAATCGCCGACAGTGGTGGTGGTGGAATGAAATAGGCTTTCAACGCTGGAATTGCACAAATAGGAGACTAATCTCAGATATGTTGTAGGCAAGATGAAACGTGTAATTGCATCAAAGGAGCCTAGAAATGGTGGAGATGCGGAATGCTGATCCGAGAACAGTAGAGCACTGCAAAGCAGGCTGAGCTGGCTCGGGGAATGGATGCCCATAAACAAACAAAGGACATTTTGCCATGCCCCTCGATCAAGCGTTTCCTGCTTTGCACCTTCTGGTACTCTTTTAGCCTTCTTCCCTTACTTTCTCTTGACTTTTGCTTATTTGTTTGTTTTAAATCCATCAATGAATGTTCACTAGAATTTATGAATGAATAGACCTCAACTTGAGGTTGGTGAAATACAGTTCATTTTTCCTTTCTTATTTTGTTTTGTTTTGTTGTTTTTTTTGTGTGTGTAAAGAAATGCCTTATTATTTATATTTATATATATATATATATATATATATATTTTCTATCTAAAAAAAGTTAATAGAGCTAGAAAATTATTGTGAAGTTAGGAAGCTTTTATAGTTTTGGAGAACTAGTTAAATATAATTAGAAGCTAAGCTGTTATTATTTGGGATTATTAATTAAGAATAGGATTTGATTTAAGAAGATATGTTGTATTAATGAGTGCCAATAGGAATTGTCTTGCTAAAATGTTTAGTTTTCTTTTTTAAAAGAGATTTAGAATTGCCTTAGTTTAGTAGCATGGCTAAACTAGAGTAGTGTTTAGAGGAAGTAGTCATGCAAAGCCAAGCTTGAATTGAGAACATTTATGCTAAAAGAAAAGTATTGATGTACAAGCTAAGAAACAAGTCAACTTGAAACTATGGCAAGTAGAATTAAATCAAAGGTTCAACTTGATGTATTTGGACAAATTCTAGATTAGTTTGCGAATTGCAAAAAATGTTAGATTCAAAAGAATAAGCTCTATAAGCAAGTATATTTGAACTAGGTTTTATTTGGAGTTTTTGAAATTACTAGAAATTGACAGATATTATAAGACTTCTGGATTCAAACAATAAAAAATAAAGTAGACATCAATGCTATGAAGTGTTGAATATATAAAGATTGCTAGTAGGAATTTTATTGTTATCTTGGTCATTACCCAAATCATGTTGGATTAGTAGAGCTTGAAAGAGTGGAAAAACAAAGCCCACTATAGAAAATTTCAATGTTGATAATAAAGAAGTTTATGAGGTAGCAATTTCATTAATCTAAAAGTATGTTTAGTCACTTAGAGTTGATTGTGAGACTTAAGAATGATGGTTGGAAGGTAGAAGACTTGACCATGAGTATTTATTTGAAGGTCAAGCAAAAAAAAAGACCTTATTGATGGAAGAAATTATATGCATTTGGTTGGCAATTAAGAAGTGAGGAGAAAATTTGGATTAGAAGGACAGTTGATGGTCTAAGAGTGAGTTAAAGCCAACAAAGATGAAATAGATTTAAGTGTTTTCGTAAAATGGTTATAACAAGTTGAACAAAACTTGGTCATGAATCCTATATTTGATTAAGAAGAAAAATCATAGTTGCTAAAAATTAGTACAATGTAACTATCAAAACAAAGACTCATAGCTGGGCAAGAAATTTGGTGGTTCCAAAAAAGAATAACCGTGTAGAAGAGTGCTTTAGAGTACAAAATTTGAAAGGAAAAAAAGAAGTGGTGGTATCATGGATATACATATTTACTCTAATATTTACCTATATGATTAAATAAAAGTAAATGAAAGTAGATTTATTTCATAATATTTTTTAAACTAGCTTCCCAAAAGCTTCATAGATGCTACTTTGACTCAACATATGTTGGTAGTAGATTGGTAGGTTAGAAACTTCATCAATAAATTAATTTTATGTTGATAGCTTGTAGAATAAGATAATTATATGGCATATATATAAAAATCTTATCTTACAAGTTAAAATATGTATTTTATAGAGTCAACACATTTTGAAAGTTTTATAGAATATATCCATATAGCTCTTAGTTAGATAGTATACATGGAGGTAAGAGTGAAGCTTTCTTCATTCTTGTCAATGCCTTTCTAGTTCTTAGTCTTGTTTCAAGACTTTTTAGTCTTTTTGTCTTTAGCAATAGTCATTTTAATTAAATATATTACTATCTTTAAATGATTTCTTTGTCTTTTTGAGTGACATAAGAATGTATTGAAGATTTTTTTCTTCAAAATTCATATCTTTGATAATTTGATAAGAATGCTAACTTATTATTCTTGTCATATTTCTAGAAGTATATAAAGTATTCCACTTCTATTGTTGTGTTTAGAAGATTATAGATTATCTATCTTTAAAGAAACTATTTAGTATTTTAACATTGGTTTTTTTTCTTAAAGAAAGTGGATTATCTTTCTTTGTAGAAATTTTCATTTCACGTTAGAGATTGTAGATTATTTCTTTTTAATTTGACTTATAAATTTTTAAAGTTATTTGATATGGAAAGAAAAATCATAGATGCTTCACTTGGCAAAAATAAGAATTGATTTGCAAGTATTGCAAACTTATTAATACTCTTAGGACAGAAATTTCACGCATCACCAGCACCAACCATGGAAACACTTATCTTTTATCTATAGAAGATGTTCAAAGTCTATGCCAAAATTTTTTGTACTTGAAGGGAATAAGTAGATTGACCTCACAACCAATTTTAAGAAATTTTTCTTCCACAAGTATAATGGAAACAAGGATTATTAGGTCTAAGAAGTTTGATGGAATAAGATCAAAATTTTGAAGTTTTTTGTAATTAATTAAGCTGTATTTAAGATTATATCCCTTCTAATATCCTCATAGATTTATTCAAGTTGGATTTATAGAGGCACTTTTATTTATAAGTATTTTCTTTTGGTTTATATCTTTGATGGAAAATAATTCATCACTCTTTTATAATTTGAATTCATTCTTAGAAATATTAATGGCCACATTCAGAGAAAGTGATTGAGAAAGAATAATAGAGATCAAGTTCTTATCTTTACAATAAGAATCATGATTAGCCACAATATATGCTGCTAAATTTTAAAACCTCACTTATAAAGTGGGTTAGAATGATAAAGCCCTTATCAATCAATTTTAATATGACTTTAAAGATAATGGCTTTGAATTTTTATTGATAATACCAAAAGCAAAATCTTTAGAATGATTTATTGCTCAAGCTATTACATACAATATTTGATTATTTAAAAGGTATCAAGAACAAAGACTTGATTAAAGACAAATAATGACAAAAGCTCTCAAGTTTTT